AACAAAAAAAAAGCATCAAATGCTTAAAAGCTACTTGAAAACTATCTGTCACTACCATCAAACAATCATATGATGGTATCAATTAATGCTTTGTAGTCTAAAGAGTTACAAATGCAAGATACATACAACTAGCAACTGTCATTAACCCTAAATAAAACATGGTACAGAATACAGCATGGATTAGACAGAAACCTACAGAGCCCTGACTGAGAAGCAACTTGCAGCTTCATATGTGCTTGCTTGCATAACTCATAAGTCAAAACAAAGGAGAATACATGACCGCAAGAATTACAGCAGCTTATCCAGTCCCATGGACTATCAGTTACTAATATAGTCATTTATGAAGGAAAACAGAGGAAACCAGAAAGTAAATGCAAGGGATATGCAAATCAACCTTAACTACTGGTCATTGTGTGAATGCTATTGACAGTTCAAACTAAATAAACCATTCATACCTGCAATACATTGATGATTGCAGTAATTGGAATTCAGCAAATATTCAATTCACACCATATAGCTAGATGAATTGAATAACGAATATTAATAACTTAAATCTATATTTAGATCTACCAACTTTACAAAAAGGAAGGATTTGGTTTCTCATTCTATGTTTCATACATATTATATATATCATTCCCTGTGTTTTCCACCTGAATTATTTCAATAAATAACAAGAAGCTTCATATATACAAGGAATTCCTACATGGAGACATTATTACATTATCCTCAAAATCAATATACAATACATAAAAGGGAGAAACAGCATAAATTTTCAGAAAAAGGTTCCCATGGACCTTGGTGAATCATCACACCACTAATCACCTTTTAACTACAACTAGGGGCAAAGCAAAAATGTTTTTCCCCTTCCCCAACATATCATGGCTCTTCCTCCAATCAAGGACCAAGATGCCAAAAGTGACCTCAAGAATCATACCACTAGCAACTTCAGCTAACACTAAGAGCACAACAGGCTGGTCACTAATGATCCACCCAAGATGTTACAAATTGCTATAGACAAATATCATTCTAATAATGATACCTTACCAATTTCATCATTCAAACTCCCTACTAGACTACAAAACATGGTTTGGGGAGTTATTTTCTCTCATCCATATTTCTTCCTACAACTAAAGTCCCCAAATTGTTCTTCACCCATATCAAACTAACGCTCCATTGGTAAAATTTAAAGAATCCTTAAAGGAATGATGAAAAATTCCAAATTCCTTTCTTCTTCAAGTTTTTAGACACTGAATTCCCATGTACAAGATTATTCTGACTACTCCATCTCAGAGCAAAGACAAGCTAAATTTAGGATTAATTTTGATAAAAGCCTCCATAATCTCTACTTATTTTTCTTTGATAATTTATCTAAAATTCTCTCATCTATCATCCAGCACGCATTGATACGCATTATCCTCATTGCTTTAATCTTTCAATTTAAACATAATTCAAATGTCAAACCATTCTCACAATCAACGAGCTCTAACTTCCACATTTTGAATTTCCATACGCATAATAAATGAAGGAAATGATACGAACCGATCATTCTGCCGACGAGAGTGAGTTCATCACGCGCCTCCTCGATAAGCTCCTCGACCTGACCGCACCCTAGGCGCTTCTCGATCACGTCCCAGTCCTCCTCCTCCTGGCACACCTTCAAACGGTGCTTTGTGAAGCTCTCCACCGCCTTACGGTATCCTTCGTCCTCCGGGACCGCCTTGATCTCGTTTAGGGTTTTGGTGTACAGACCTATTAGCACCTCCCTGGCGTTCGGAACCACATCGAGTCCGACGATCCCCGTCGTCTGCTTCACCTTCGCCATCAATGGCCGCGAGATCACGCGGAGGAACATCTTCGCTTGCTCGGTTCCGTAGAGCAGTCGATCACTTCTCAGGTGCACTTCGCCGTCGAAGTCTCTGAGGAAGAGAAATGCGATTGCATCACAGAGCGCGAGAGCAAACGAATCTCAGCCGACCGTTTCGTGTGGGACAATAAATAGACGGTTCAGATCTTGTCTGTACACGGAGTTGATTAACTAACAGCGGTGATGTTACTGCCTTGCTGGGCCTGGAGTCGTCGTTCTTGGTTCTCGTACAGTTCTCTGATTGGGTTGGATTGTACCCTAATTCGAAAGCCCATGAGCCTTTAGGCTTCAATGCAGAATACGAATTCCCAAGTCCAAACAAAACAAGGACGTGCGAGAAGGCCCAAAGACTAATCCTATATATATACTATAATAACGAGAAAAGATGAAAGATAAGGAGAGTTGAAGATTTTAAATTTAAATTTTGAAATGGGTAGAGAAGGCTTTTAAAAGGGTATGACATTTATTATTGTATAGCTCATGATTTGATAAAAATAAGGATACAATTTTTTTTATATTTTTAATTTAAAAATATAAATTTTGTTAATTTTAAATGAGATAATAAACTTTTAATTTTTTTTAGAATGTCTATTTTACGTTTTTATTTAAGAATTAATTAGATAGTTAAAAAAACTGTTTACCAAGTCAGCATTGTCATCCAAATAATAGTTAACTAGAGAAAAGAATTCAAGAAAAAAAAAGGTATAGAAAATAATTTTTTAGATTGATATATAAGAACAAAAGTATAGGAGTACTTATAAAATTACTCTTTCTATTTATTTTTAGTAGTTTTAATTTGATTTATTGATATTTTAAATATAAATTTTAAATGAAAATATAACATATTATACAAGTAATAATTAAATTTTTTTATCAAATAAAAATACTCAACAAGAATTTCATATAAAAAAATTTTAAGTATTGTCTGTATACGTTATTAAACTTCTTCTAAAATTTATATTTTAAGAGTCAAAATAAAACTAGTAAAATGAACAGAGAAAGTATATAAATACCATTAATTCTCTTACAAGTTGATTTATTAACGATATTTGATTAATTCAAGGGTTATTCTTTCGTATGTCATAAAAGAGAGATTATAAAGGTTTATTAGTTGTAATTTCTTCTCAATAATTGTTATAGAAAAATAAAAGTTGATTTTACTTTTATTAATTTTTCAAGTAAAATCATACATGTGTTATTGGTGTTGAAAATGAAGTTAATTTTTATATTTTTCTATACAAATTAATATGAGAAAAGTAGAATTAATGCATCTTAACTTATATCTTTAGAGTGTATGTTGGACAAACCCTTAATTCAATAATCATTTTTGCACCTTCTTTTTTTTTTTTTTAATAAATCAAGCTAAAAATTCACAACTCCAATTAAATTTAGGAATTTATTTTTATTTGCATTACACAATGAAAGTATTCCTCTCTTATCTCTTGGGCACCATACCTACATGTTATGCAACTAAAACTTTGAAAAAATATTGTCAGTTGGTTATTTAAGTAGTTCGTAGGCAAAAAAATTAATTATTATTTTACTATTATATAAAAATTATTTTAATTGCATGTAAAAAAAATTCAAAACCACAATTAAAAAGGGACAAGGTAGCAACATTTAGGGCCTCTTTGCTTTATAAGATGGTGAAAAGGGATTTTTTTTTTAATTATATAATCTATTATCTAAAGTATTAAAAAAGGAAGAGCCTCATTGTTTCATGTTTTTATCCAAAAAAGAAAAGAAAAAAAAAGAAAAAGTTGAGCCTTACAAAATTATACTTTTGAATTTATAACCAATTACTTTTGAGTTTATAACCAATTACTTTGGTCATAATCAAATTGTTTGGATATAATTAGTATTTTTTAAAGTAATTAATTATTCCATCCATCTTAAAATAATTGTTATTTTTCGATTTTAAATTTATCTTAAATTAATTTTTTTTATTTTTTAAGATAAATAAATATTTTTTCTATTTTAATGCTCTTATTAGTTATTTATTTTGATTAATTATTCTATCACAAAATATCTAACTTTATCTTCAACTTTTTTTAGAGTAATATAGGTAAATATCTAAATTGTCTCCAAATCTTTAATTTAAAAAAACAAAAAATGACAATTATTTTGAAATAAAAAGAGTATATTGTTAGAGAAAGTTTTCTTTGTGCATTTAGGACTATATGGTAATATAACCAATTATATCACATTATAATTGATTATATTTTTTTAATTAAGAATTCTTACTTTCCAAATTAAGCTTTTGGCAAAAATAACTCAACTTCTCCAAATTCTCTTTCTTAAAAAAACCCAAACCAAACAATGCCTTAAAGAAGTTGAAGAAGATTACCATCAAAATTTAATTTGCATTTAAAACTCTAAACATTAGATTTACTTATTATTTTATTGATTAGATTCATAATTTAAGTTTTAAAATTAATATTTAAGTAAATTAATATTTTAAATGTAAAAAATTGATGTGAAATTCCACCTTTAAAAATTAACCCAAAACACCAGATACTAAATAAAACAATAATTGGCGTTTATTGGCATCTTTTTTTTCTCTGTTTTTGGTATAGACCACCTGATATTTGAAAGTTTACTGGGCATCGGTTAATTCAGATTGAAGTTCGACATGACTCATGAACGGTAAAATTCTTTCTCACAAATTTTAAAAAAATTGTATTTTTAAGATTTGAAATTAAAATATCTGATTAAACTTAAACTAAAAGAGTTTCTTACTAATCCATCTACCTATAATAATTATCGTTTATTGGCATCGTTACTTGTTGCTAATCCATCCACCTATAATAATTATCGTTTATTGGCATCGTTACTTGTTGCTAATCCATCCACCTATAATAATTATCGTTTATTGGCATCGTTACTTGTTGCTTGGATGCCTCTCCATTTGCCAAGTTGAAAATAATAAATAACTTAAAATTGAACCAAAATTAAACAAATGTTTTGACCGGCTCTAATTCAGGGTTTCAAAATATATATATATTTGACTGGACAACGGAAAGGAATAGGATAGTCCATGACGTTGAGTGTGAACAGATAACGAAATAACAAAATGGAATCTCGAATTTGTTTATTGATAAAAAAAAAATAAAAAAAAAGAGCGGCCGCCTGAACTGTGAAGCCTCTGAACCGGCTCGACTTTAACGGTTCCGACGACTATCACATACCTACATTTTTTTTATTGCCAAAGATCGTGCATCTACCTTTTTTTTTAAAAAAAAAATACGGTAACAAAATAAATATTGGTAATGTTATTTTTTTTTTCATTTTTACAAGATTTAATTAATTTTTTAATTTTATAATATAAACTTTAGATAAAAATTTAATGATTTATATAAATAATAATTAAAATTTTTTATTTTTAAATATAGTTTTTGTTAAATATTTTTATTTGATTAAAAAAAATTTTCAATTATTGTTCATATAGATTATTAAATTTTTATCTAAAATTTACATTTTAAAGTCAAAAAATAAAATTAAATATACTAAAAATAAATGAAAGAAATAGTAATTTATAATCATATGTGGTACTAAATGTATAAATATATATTATTATAAGTAAATATTTTAATAAAAATAATCAATTATATAATAATATAACATATTTTAAGTTTATAATACCATGAAATTTGTAATTATAATATTTTCGAATAAATATAGGGGATAGGAAAACACAAATAAAAAAAATTAGAAATTATTGTAAGAGAGCTCTATTATTGTTATTATTGTTGTTATTATT